TATCCCCTGACTGTGGGCTCATAATCTGGCGATGTAGGATCTCCAACCCGAGTTGACCGGAACTGCGCCTATGCTCTCGCCGGAAGTGCTGCTGCCACATGTAGTAATATAAATTATAATGCCCTTACGGTGGTTCTTTCTTTCTTTCTTTTTTTTTTTTTCGACTCCTATAAATTTGCATTTCAAACACCGGAATGGTATTGTTTTGTTGAAATTGCCAAATTCAATTTTCATGGAAATAAATCGCCACTTGACATTATTTATTTTCCCTCATTATGCATTTATTATTAGATTATGTTTGTAAGTATATTTTTAATGAAATGCGAGTGGACAGTGTTTGAGTGTATATTGTGCATGTGAAAAACTCATCCAAGAAAAGTATGCTCATGATGTATTTGATAACATATAGGAGAATATAACAGTGCTATCTATTTTTCCCTTCTTTTTCTTTGCGCTAGTTTTTTCCATTTTTTCACAACTTGGAGATAATAAACATCACGCGAAAGGTATGACTACTACAGTGGCTAGATGCCACCAGCCGAGAACACGAAACACAATGCTGCATTGTCTTGCGACAACTTTGTACGATGAGGTACCAAACTCTGTGTTAAATCATATCTCCCAAGAATATTCAATCGTGTGCTTGAAATTTTTTCTGCTTGAGCGTATCATTTTTTCGTCTATTAAATTCCATCAGCATTTTAAATTATTTTTCAGAGAAGATACAAGTAATACAAGTAATTCTCATTTTACATTCTGTATATGGACTCATTCATTTTTCGCAATGATAAGAAAAAAGTGGAGAGGAGAAAGAATTAAAAATGCCATGCGCGTGCTTTCACCGTGAGGAGGATTCGGTGATAAACTTGATCTCAAGTATTCAGCAGTATATAACTTATCATTGCTATTATTATTCTTTTTATATTAAACAAATGCGGAAGTATACATGCCACTGTCTCATATGTTTTTTCATATACAGCCCGCTGACGATCTGGACATAAAATTTATGGCCACGTGCAACATGGTGATATGGCTTATCGCTATGGGAATGGTCCTTATCAGAGCTGCCAAAAAAAAAGCGAAAATGAATAAATAAATGGTATTTTTCATTACTACTCGAAAAACAATTAAACTAAATGACGAATATAATCTCAAAGCTATGCGTTTTTCTTTTTTTTTTGTTTTTTTTTTCCATTTCATATATTAGTGTTTTTTTCCCCTTTTTGTTTCACTATCCTTCGTAGTTCTTTTTAAATAACTGTAATGAACACAATTATCGTGTGCGCTGACAAGCAGAGTATGACGAGTCGTTGTTATATTACGGCACGGAGAGGCTCTGAGACATGTAGGAGGCGCGGGATAGGTAGCGCGTGGCAATACACCCCCTCGTCCACCAACCCGCGCTGGTTTATTCCTTCTTCACCCAACACACCTGAGTTGGTGTCCTACACAAACGATAAAGCCATCGTGCCGACTAACTATAGACTTTCTTATTCGTTCGCCACACGATATAACGCTCCTTACGCATGCTGAACGCCTCCCCCGTCCCTGCAAAGGAACTGCGGGTCAGAGACTTCGGGCATATTCGCCTCCTTCGCCACAAAACCCCTGACAAACTATGCAAACACTTGGCTCGTGCCTAGATAGGTGTACGTCAGAGTTTGCTGATGATGTATCAAGGTAAAAAATGTATTATTACAATAGTAAAGAAATATTGTGTTGCATCTCGATTGATGTGTTCCATATCATGATCTGATAATTTTGAAATTGTTATGGGACTTGAGAAATGTATTGTTTTTAGGGTTGAATGATGATAAAAATGGAGCTATCGTCAATTGAAAAATCACTGGAGCTATAAGAATAAAGAGCAGGTGTAACGACGATGCCATGCCTCAGATCCGGTAAATACGCGGTGATGTTGGAATAATTTTCGGTAACAAGTGAAGAGAGAAAAAAATCTCTACAGCTGGGATTTTTCGTGGCTTTATTTGGAGGGCACGGTCGGCGCCGATGTGTTAATAATGAGAAACGTGGCTAGCGCGGAGAGTCGAGTGAAGTAGCCTCGCTTATGGTCCGATGGTGCCCGAGGAGCATAACGATTCGCAGAGCATAACGCCACGAGCCATCATATCCTCCTTCCAGAAAGGCCTCCGCACGAGCTCGCTGGAGTCCTCTCCCTCCCCATCGCCAAGCATCGCCATATACCCCCCTCAGCGTATACCATATTCCGTCTTCTTCCAGCCATGAAAGACCCGCGCATCCCGTTCACTATACATAAAATACACACACACACACACACACACACACATACATACATACATTATTACACCCGCGTAGCTCACAACGCGTACCTACTTCCGCGAACTAGATCGCCGGCCAGATATTAGGATCGCGGGGCTACCATTGCGGCAAGTGGTCATTGTCCACTCGGCGCAGGAAGTTCCTCTCTACCTTTTTCTCTTACTCCTTTTTACCCCACTTCCCCCATCGCCACGTTACCATCAAGAGATTTTGGACGGATAATTGTAGTGAAACTCTGGCCGCTGCCATTGTGTCAAGGGTTCTCGAGGTGTAGATAATTGCAATGGACGAGAGTTACATTACATGAATAACGAGAAAAAATAACAAGAGTTGGGAAATATAAATAGCGCGCTATGCGATGTGTCAGTAATCTTTTCTTTTCTTTTTCCATCATCAATTCATTTATTTATTTAATTTATTTAAATTTATATAAATGGTGAAAAACTTGATACTCTCATAAAAACGGCCGGTAAGAAAATTGATGGAATTATGTGATAATTAACTGATATTTTATATTTTGTCAGTTTTTGGCGGGTTGGGAACGTTGGTGGAGACGAGTACCTCCGTGTCTTCAAATTGGAAGTAGGAGCGTCAGGGCGGCACCTGACCGGAAAGCGTCACAGTCAGCGAATACAGCCCCGTTCTTTCTTCCTCTTACTTTGACCATTTTTTCTCTTTTTTTTTTTTCCAACTTTTACCCTCCTCCGGTATTTCCTTCTTCGTACGTTCTCTGAAGGGGTTGTAGTGTCGATGGAATTATCATGTATTGGTAGCATGTTGAAAAAAAATCGAAAACATGGCTCACAATTTATTGTGACACATCCCTTTGATGAAAGAAATGAAATAATCACCTGAAAAATTCACGAGACTGAGTCAAAATCATTCGGCTGATTTGAAAAAATCATAAAAGCAGGATGCAGCGCATATTAGTTGTTAGGGAATGAGAGTGTCTTCATCCAGAGATATATATTTCCATACAATTGAAACTATTGGTAGTGTATTTTATAATATCTCTATTATGTATAGCTCACCTACATTAGATATGTATATAGCACCATTATATACAAATTTTCACTGTTGCCTTGATTATAAATCGATATGCCACTTTTTTCTTTTCATCACATTAAAGAGTCAATAGGGTATTAATTCAGAGACGCTCACTGTTTGTTTCCTAATATAATGAAAATTGAAAGGAGAAAACTTGAGAAAAATTTATACGCTTTAATGATGAACGTTCGTCGAAAACGATTCTTTCTCAAGGTATTCAGAGGACGCCCCGATGTACACAGGAAATCTCAAATGCACCCACCGAAACACCCCGCCCTCAGCGGACTCGATTTAATGTTCCGTTTCCTATCTGCTTTGCGATAAGGGGCCCAACAATTTTTATAGAATACAACGTCCGTCGCAATAGTATTTTTATTACTATAATATACCATCCTCATGAGTACAAAAGAGCTATCATTCGAAAATATCATCCAAGAGAGCGGAAAATGTATATTTGGTAGGAATACTCTACTAGTATCGGTGAAAAAGAAGAAAATTTTCTAATACAGTGGCATTATAATTAGACGTTATTTCTTCTCTCAGTACGTGATAACTTTTTGGGAGATGGCTTCATCTAGTTGTGTTAACAGACTTACATATTCATTTTTTTCAAGCTTTCATATGCGAATTGCATATGCATGAACTTGTATTCTGTTGCTATTTTTAGGAATAATATTTTTCGTCATACAGAAGAAGAAGAAGAAGAAGAAGAACCATTATTAAAATTTTTTGCTTTGTTTTATTGAGCACAAACCGAAATCAACTACTGGACAAGGATTTCGTAGGATTAAATCTAGGTCCGCGAATCGCGAAAGGCATATAGAAAAGCCAACGCACTTGCGCATTAAAGGGCAATTAGCCGCGGCTCGCGAGCACGCTGATGCCCGGAAGCGATAGAACAGGCCGCGCGTGCCATCCTTACCTGACTTACTTTACCTTAGCTGCTCATATCCGACACTGTACCGACACTGTATCAAAAGTGCCAGAACAAGTGACTATTGGCCTTCGCCGAGGATATACTCACTTTTTATTATTCCGTAAAGAGTCGTGCTATATAATTTTCTCTCTCTCAACAATCTTTGAAAAAAATCATTGTTGCTAGAAATTGAACCTTCTTTTTTTATTCGCCAGTCTACCAGTAAACAACAAACTCGGTGCATTTCATGTATGCCGCATCGTTTGCCATGCTTACCGAGTCTTGGAGGGAGAGAGAGAGAGAGAGACAGAGGAGTCACACGCGATACCAACACTCGTTTCACCCATTTGGCGGTGCAGAATGAAAGAACGTAACTGGCGTATCCATAAAATAAAATGGAAGCGTTATCCACTTTATGCTGATCGATTTGGCATGATTTTATAACTTCACCTGTCTATTCGCTAGTCATGGAGCCGACAAATAGCCCGGATCAAACAAGCCGCGATACTCTGGCTGGTATCTGTAACATAAAGCTGAAAACTCTAGTTATAGATGCAATATATTCCGAACAATCATCCGAACCGAATGCTTCAACTAGAATTTGTCTTGTTGAATTTTATGATGTTCTAAACTGGATATGAAAAATTCTCCCGCTCTTTGTTCACTTTCCTTCCCCCCTCTTCCCTCCCCTCTCTCTCTCTCTCGGCATTTTATTCCAAATATTCCAAAACTCATATAAAGACAATAAAAAAATTTATTTCAAGTATCATTTTCTTCCTCTCTTGGGCACATGGTGAAAAACATGGAATGCATGGACAATAAGTTACACAGACGAGAGTCATTGAATTATTAAATTAAACAATTTGAATTGGTTTGTTCGTTTGAATTGGATGGTGGGTGCTCAGCAGCAAGGGCTAAAACTTGTTCACAAACACGTTTATAAACCCAGGCATCTCCTTTTAGCCTTTTTCTGCGTATTCCGACTAATAGTTTTCCATCACAAACTCCTTCCAATAGGCATACTTCCAATTGAAATCGACATGCTTTCCTCGAAGCGAACGGTCTAACAGCAACAGCAGCAACATCTTTCACATTCTCTGTATCATCACTTTCTGTTCCTCCTATCAGAGTAAAACCTTTTTGTCGACAAAAAATTCCTTTTCTCTGCAGGGCACGTCGAAGCTGTTGCAATACATATTCTGGAGAATCACTAGACGTAGACGAAATATTGCAAAGACCTTTCCCCGATAATACAATCGGTTGATCTGGATTATTATTTTCTTCATTCTTTATACGTCGTTTTGGTGTCAGTACACATCTCATTTTATTCAATCCTCTTTCCAAGCCCATTATTACTTTTTTAGCACTACCAGGCGTTGATTGTATTTCCCTGCAGTAGAAAGAAGAAAAAATGTTGATGATAATTCATTATACAACAGATAAAAATTAAATTTCACCACCAATTAAGAATACTATTTACTTGGAATTTGATGGGACAGGAGTTGACGGTGTTACGGCTCCCTTGTGATCACCAGCTCTTTTCACAGGAACTGAATAATTTAATTTTATAAATATCATGAGTGCAAGTGTTGAAAAATTGTAGTGAAAAGTATTGCAAAAATGATATGCACACAGTATCATCTCAAGTCTCTACTAACTAGGTTCATTACAACTTTTCTTTTTCTTTTCTTCAAATTAGAAACAAGCCGTAATGAAAGTAATTGTAAGTTTAATTGCTTTTGTATAATGCAGATAACTCACCGGGTGAAGATGAATCGTCCTCTTCTCTGGAACGAAGCCTTTTTCGTCCGGGTGCGGGTGGCTCCATGAAACTCTTAAGTGGATCTTTCTCTGAAAAAAAAAATGCCAATTATTAGATTAAGGTAAATTTACAGGAAAACTAATTGACAATAAATATCATATTCACCAGATTCTGGGGTCTGAGATAAAACATTGTATGTTTTGCCATTATTAGGAGATTTCCTAGGCTCTTTATTGCTCGGTGATTGATCCAATTGAGTTATAAAATTATTTAATGAAGGTACCATCTGTGCGCCCAAGTATTCTCCATCCTGTTATATTATAAATTATAATTTATCATTGATATATGATAATTATGTATTGTTGTAGAATACTTACGGGTTGACGTCGGAAATGAGGCCTGGAAGCACTCGAAATGCGCAATGACAATCCTCTTAGTTTTCGATCAAGCAGCAAAAGATACGTAGCAGTTGTGTAATCTGTCCTTGTACTTTTCGACAGGGCTTTCCATACATCTCCCGCTGATTCAGCACAGATGGCTGACATTGTGTTCAAAACCTCATCGTTTCGTTCCAACTATTATGTTTATATAATTTATAATTAATAATAAAAAATTGAATAAGAGTAAAAGTAATACAGATGAATTATCAGGCATTTACATTGGTTTTTTTGACAACAGTCACCGGAGTTAAAAAGCCAGCTGTTACCCAAGGGTGGCTGCAGAGTTCCTCAATTGTAATTCTTTTTTTCGGATCAATTTGCAGCATTGCACGTATTAATCTCCTGCTACCGTTTGATAACCAACTGGGTTCATCATATTTACCGCTCTGCAACAATTTAAAAAAGACAAAAAAATGTACAAGTCCTAGTTAATAGTAGGTATTACTATTAGCAATAATAAATAAAAACAACTTACAAGGATTTTTCTATACAAACTTTCAATGCTGTTATCATCAAATGGAAGAAAACCGCACAAAAGTGCATACAATAACACTCCCATACTCCAAATATCAACTTCTGATCCTAGGAAAAATAACGACTAATTGGTCATTTTGTTTTTAATTATAGAATATTTTGTTTGAGAGATTGAAATTTTAATTTAATTTAAAAACAAAACATGGATTGACATTTTGACACTGGAAAATACTTAAAATACCTAAATATTTTTTGCCAACAATTAATTCTGGAGCTGCATAAGTTGGAGATCCACAAGATGTATATAAGTGAGCCTGCATACCACCTTTGGGTTTGGCGCAGAGTCCGAAGTCTATCAATTTCAAATTTTGATCTTTGTCCAGTAGAATATTTTCCTACAAATCAAAGCAACGCAATAAAGGTACTTTTTGTAATGACTTTGCCATATTATATTAACGCGACTCACTGGTTTTAGATCTCTATGGGCGAAACCTAAACTATGAAGATATGCAACTGCTGATACAATCTGTCGGAAAAACTTTCGAGACTCAGTTTCAGACAATCGGTTTTTTTCAACTACAACATGAACAACAATGTCAATTAATATGAGGAAAAATGAATTTCATGATTCTTTATAACAATACCTAATTAATACCATATTAATCTTACCAATGTGATCAAAAAGTTCACCACCTGAACAATACTCCATGACCATGAAATAATGACTCTCCGTCTCAATAGTTTGATAAAGTCTGCAAATATGTTGATGAACCAATGTCTTCAAGGCATCAACTTCAAGCTTAACCCTTGGCAAGTCATCCTGTATTAATGAAATATCATTTAATCATTTATTGCCAATCATTTGTTTTCTATCAAGAAAATAAATAAATAAATAAATAAATAAAAATAGGAATACACCTACACCCAGTGCTGATTTTTCCATTATTTTAACGGCTACCTTTTCTCCAGTTGCAATATGTGTAGCGAGTTTAACTTTGGCGAAACCACCACAACCAATTGTCTTATCGAGTTCATAAAGTCCTTTAAGCACTGCATATCGAACCATCTTAACATTTGTTGATTCTTTGGACTTGTCACAAGTTTTCAACTCCCCAAAAACTCCTCCTCCTCTTGCAAAATTCTTGTGCTCAAATTAGTACCACCAAGTACCACGAAAAAACAACTGATAACCATTGGCCTTTTCTCAAACAAATAATAATTTTGTAAAAAATAACGTAAACCACAGATAAACGAAAATCACAATACCTGTCTCCCTGTCTGTCCTCTGTCCTGCCGATCCAGCAAGAATGCGACCTTCCTAGTGGTGGCGTAACAAAATAATTTGAGTATGTACGTTTGTTGGTAAAACAGATAGATAGTAGGTTTCTTTATGGTAAATAATCTTTTGATTCATATCAGTTAACGTCGATAGAGTAGAAACTGTATTTTTTTTATTAGGGGACACGGCGGCAATTTTCTCCACATTGTTCACGGCAGTGTAAAATTATTATTAACCTAGAGCTTAAAGTGGCACATCCATACATCTAATTATACACAACTTTTTCAACAAATGGTAATTGACACGCTGATTATGTAGGTAGCTGGCCACAATCATGTTCTCTACATTATTATAGAAAATAAAAGTAATTGAATCGCACATGGCTGATGTGTAAATCATTTTTTCAATGTCAATTTATTATTTTATATTATTGATTGTGTTTATTCATTCACACCTTCAATATGTCGATATTTTCATCAGAGTTATGCTACTATTCAGTAATTAGAAAGTAAGATTATGGGGGTAAAATATATAGCCAATCTAAAATTTATTTAGAAAAATAAAATATATTTTCTTACTTATTATTTCAATTGAATAATCATTGATTAAAACTGTAATACTGCAATAGACAATTTCAATACAATACAAGAATAGAAGAAAAATTTATTATATTATGATGAAACTTTCAAATCAACGTTTATTTTGCTATGAATATTTATTGCACGATTCATAAACAATTTCGGCAAATTACCACAGTCTCAATCTTACATTTCCAAAATGGCTTTCTCCAATATGTGTCCTACAAATGGCAAAATAATTTCTCTTGAATTTGTCATTTTATAATATAATAATAAACCTACTGTCAGAACTATGATCAATTGATAACAGCCCCCGATTGTTGGTTGGAATTGCTGGAGAAAAGGCAAAAATCGTATATGAAGTTGGTGAAAATGAGAGAAAGAAAATGCGGAAACGGAAAAGCCAACACCCCCCATACGCGCTTGCGCAGTTCTCCTCCCTCTACCCCCTTTGCTACTCTTTACGCCAAGCAGTATGGTATATGGTATATGGTATATATACACTCCAATTCCGTCTGTTTCTTTATACTTGTATGGGCTAGGCTAGTGGGACTAGTGTATACAGAGAGCACTCTCCCTCATATATCCATACTAATGTATCGTTTAGTTCGTTGATTGGAGTCGTAATCAGAGATAGCACACGGTTGTGATACTCCAACTTTGCATAAAATTCAGTTTCATCATCGATTATTGCCATTACTTGTGATAAGATACTTTGAAAAATAGTACAAACTGTATACTATTCAATTTTCATCATTTTTTTTTTGTTTTAGACGATTTTCTTTTCTGGTGATATTAAAACATTCTGAAAACTATTTCAACATAATTGTAACAAATTCGTCTGAAAATTGAGTGATCCATATAACATTTTTTTCTTTTTTTTTAATCAATGAGTGAATAAAAAAAATAATTGATGAGTGAAATATAAACATTCTTTCGTCAATTGAGAAGTAAAACAAGTGTAATTTTATTTTCCCTCTAGTTGTTGTTTTATATCTGTTATTCATAATCTCACATGGTTTTATGTGCAAATAAACAAAAAATATAAACAGCATGTAAATTTAAAAAATACCAATTGAATATATTCTTTTACTAATTCATATAGTTTTTTTTTTCTTTCATGAATGCTCTTATTTATAGTTTGAACCAATTCCTGAAAATAATAATGCTCATTTCCTGACAACGATCATGCATGCAATATATGACTCATAATCATCAAAGAAGCTTGCCATGTAATCTTATTATCGGAAGTATTGATGACGTGTAGATTGGCCGTTGAACATTGTTGCTTCAAAAAACATGGTCACAATTTTTTTCCCTCATGCTCTTTCTATTATTATTAATATTATTATTATTATTATTATTATTATCATTATTATTATCATTATTATTCGATTGAGTTATTTAATTTGTCATTTGGAGACGACCAAATGTCATTTGTCATTTGGAAACATTGATAATAATAATATATTATGTTGAGATACCTAAAAATTTTCCATAGACTAATTAATAATAGTTGTAGATCTCTGTTTGCATTATATATGCTGAAAATAATTCTGCGGAAATCAATGGTATGAATCAATTTGAGATCTGTCCACCTTTATTTCAGCCATGAAACTAATAATAAACTAGTATATTTCAATTGAATAAAAATTTCCATCTATGGATGTGATGATAACAGTTATTAATGGAGTATTGTAATAGCGAATAATGCGTTTTCTAAGTGTAGTTTTTTTTCCAAAGTGCCGCCATTTTGAAAGAGGAAGAGGATAGTGTCATCGCCTTGGTAAACTTCTCCTATAGTCCCAATCGTCTTTTCAAAAAGGTGATTAAATTGAAATGAAGATGAATCTTCTTATGGGCGAACGTGAAATTTTCTGCTTTTACAGTAAGTGATGCATGAGATGATCATTTTATTTCGATCGTTGTATGTTTATTATATTATTATTATACATATTGTCAGTCCTGTTTCGATAATTTCTGACAATTTGATTATTTGATCGAATTCTCAATTTGAACGTCAACTATTCTGTACTTTTTTTTTCTTATTGTTTTTTGACAATGTCATGTTTACAATGAAGCAAATGGTCCTGAATCAATTACATTTGTTTATTTACTCCTCATTATAGTGTGTCTATACGTCATTGCATTCGAGGAAAAAGGAAAAAGTAATTGATTTTTTATAACTTTCAGACTCCTTCAACTCATAATTATGGAATTATTGTGTATTATGGTCACTTGTCATTTGCAGGTACAGCAGATATTCATGAAATCACCGTATATATCATCAGAGAGGCATAAGAATGGATGAAAAATATCCATGTGAAAACGTTCCTAGTAAGCAATTGAGAACACGAAAAAGTATGAATCCAGAGCGTGTGGGACAGATGATAGGGAAATTTACCTCAAATAGCCATGGGGCATGAAATTTATTTAGTGGAATATCCCATCATGTTCGGGTGGAATCAACATTTGTCAAGAATTCTGTAGAGTGGCTTGAAGGTAGACTGAGGAGGACAAGCTACAACTATTCAATGACACTCAATTTATACAGATACAGATGACTACGGTGATGATGATGATGATGATAGAGATGAGAAATGGGCATGCGTTCATCGCGTACATACTCTTGAGAATTATTCTAAGGCTACTCTCACTATCATGACTAATCCTTTTTTACAGTAATGAATATTGAAAAGGATATTAATAATGGCTATTCATTCTGCTGGGAACAGAACAACTACCGATCATGGATTGCCGTTGGAAGAGGTGACAATGGTACTTACAGGTATTTTCCTGGGGCTCCTGATCCTCATTACTATTGTCGGTTAGTTAAAAATAATTACATTGAATAATTTCATATCTAAGGGTGTTTTGAAACAATCACATATATATTTGTACTAGTGTAAATATTAATACAATGGAATATTCAACGATGAAAATATGGATTGTCAGGAAAAATAAAAATTTTCATCATTTTATGATGATAGTGTGAATAGGTGGATTTTTTCAGAAATATATTCATTGGAAAAGCAATCTTCCCTCGCCATCAATATTGAATAATCAGTTTACAGATGCCTTAAGGAGGGAAACAAATTGTTACAGGAAATGTATTCGTTATAGCAGCCATTCTATTGGACAGAAATTTACAATCCGTTGCAAATTACCTAATCATCAGTCTTGCGGTAGCTGATCTCATGGTAGCCTGCCTAGTTATGCCGCTCAGCGCTGTTTACGAGGTATATATATATCTATATATATATAGATTTCAATATATCCCACCAACTAATTCCATCATACTAACCATGCAAATTATTATTATTATTATTATTATTATTATTATTATTATTATTATTATTATTATTATTATTATTATTATCATCATCATCATCATCAGCATCATCGTCATCATTTTTTTAATATTAAATTCGTAAAGTATTCCAGAGAGCTACAATTGTCAGAAAATTTTCACTATTAGAAAAAGTATTAGGGAATCAATTGCTTTACTCCAATTCCAAATGCCAAAGCTAATAAAGAATAAACATTCATGCAAATGGAGAAGGAATAGGTACGCTTCAGAACCGACCTGTACAGGTAGGATCAAGCTAAATAGTTTCACGCTTAAATGGAGAGTTGAGTTGAGTTGAAATTGATTTTTATCTGTGATAAAATATATGATGTTGACATTGAACATTCAAAATTTAAACACAATATTAACATGGAACAGCTCAATTCGAGTTAACAGCTGTATGCTGTTGATACTATTTTCAGGATCGTTACATCATAAATAATCAAAAGAAAGGATATACTCTCAGTTTTTAAATTTTTAATTTCAGATAAATTCAGGATGGTCATTGGGCCCCGAACTATGTGACATATGGACGAGCAGTGATGTTCTGTGTTGCACAGCGTCAATACTGCATTTGGTAGCAATTGCTATTGACAGATATTGGGCGGTGACGGATATCAAAAATATTCAGGTTACAATTAGGTTTCGGTTATATATCCATATGTAATTTTCATTAATTCGCGGAGTTGTTCTTGGTAGAAGGAAAACTTGGCTTATCATTAAAAAGTGAAAATAACTTTTTATATTTTCAGGGAAGAAATCCAAAGAGAATCTCTCTACTAATTGTTGGTGTCTGGATTGTGTCTTTAGTGGTCTCGTTGGCACCGCAATTTGGATGGAAAGATCCCGCCTATATGGAGCGTATTGCTCAGGGAAAGTGTCTAGTTTCCCAAGATCCTGCATATCAGGTAAATTTCCAATTCATATTATCCTCATGATTGCATACAATTAAAAGTTTACTTTTCATCTTGTGATACTAAAGTTTAACTATCATCATATCCAATTCACAGATCTTTGCAACATGCGCCACATTCTACGTACCCCTCTTAGCTATTCTGTTCTTATATTGGAGAATATTCCAAGAAGCGAGGAAGCGTATAAGGAAACGCCCTGGAACCAAAGTTCATCAATCCCGACAGGGAAATGGACTTCTCAAACTCGTTAAACGCAGGTGGCATATTATTCGGATTCGATAAATTTTTTCAACTTTACATCGTTGTATTTATTGATAATAATTTCTGGATATCTAATATTTCTGTATATTTAATGATTTTTGAGACTAGACAAATAATGTGAATTTGTCTCTTATCCAAATGCAGAACACTTGAAGAGTCAACTGCTTTTACAATAACACGATCTACGCCAGAACATTCTTCAGCATCACCAGAGAAAACATCATATGATGGCAGTACAACGGTACAAGCAACATCGGTATCAACAACAATAACAACGATATCAACTACAATGGGGACTATAATGTCAACCGCATCCACTGCAATTGTGGTGCAAAGTTCGCAGCCACAAATTATCACAAAAACAATCGAAGCAAAGCGTGAGAGAAAGGCAGCTAAGACGCTTGCCATAATCACGGGTGCCTTTGTGGCATGTTGGTTTCCATTTTTCTTTGTTACCCTACTCCAAGCTATCTGTACTGTTTGTTATCCACCTGAACTATTAGCTAGCGTCTTTCTATGGCTAGGTTATTTTAATAGTACCCTCAATCCCATAATTTATACAATTTTCTCACCCGAATTCCGTCTGGCCTTCAAAAAAATGTTATGTATGGGTACACGCTCCGTTGCTCGCTAACGCCAAATATCGAGTGTATCATCCAACCAGACAATGATCTATTCACTACTTGATGTAAGATTAATATGCAAATGCAAATATCAACTACACGTAAGTTGGAAAGATAACGGTGTGTTCAATTGTTTACCAGCAAGTTTCACCAGTATATCCTACCTACAAGTTCTCCCCAAAACACACGTACAGATCCTCCAAACCATTATTTGTTAATTCAATCAACAACAACATCAACAATAAATAGGTACGTCCATCTGTCAATGAGTTAAATCACAGAGTTGTCTATCTATTGAACTCATTTCTTCTTTAAAGTCATGTTCTCACGCAGCGCGATATAATATAATTTTATCGGGTTTAGACCAATACACGTAGAAAAGTGGTAGAAAAAATGGAGAATTAAATTCCCCATCAATTAATCTCTGTAGCAAAAAAAATACCAACTACGACAAAAGTCATGGGCCAGTGAGAAAAATAATAGTTTCGCGGCGCACAGTGACATCCGCTAATTAAAAATTCACCTCTCCCCTCCTAATTGAGATTGAGGGATGAAAGAGGATTAATTGATGGGAGAGAAGTGAATTTTTAATTCGCGGGCGAATGATAAAAAGTCAGTGTGCGCCGCGAAAAAATTATTTTTCTTACTAGTCCCTGAATTTCATGGCATTTTTTATTTTTTTGTTATAGAGATTAAGGGATGCAACGGGGATCGATTGATGGGGAATTTAATTCTCCATCACACCGTCTGTGTTTCATTCTTTAATAGTAATTAGCCAGGAAATAAATTACCTGAAAAACATTGAGAACATGTTGAGGACAAGGAGAGCATAAAATATCCTCCAAAACTATCCCTGTGACAGCGGGACTGCTACTGGCGAGTTACCGGCACAGGCAGCACGGCCAGCCGTCAGATACGACCGTGGCGCTATCCCTCCGTTGGGGTCGTACTAATTCTGGCTAGGGGTCACCGAAACCCCGAGATCTGAGCATCTACTTTAGTCTATCCTCTTTGGCGCAACTGCTCCGCGCACATTCATCATGGCGGCTGGTCACTGGCAGAGAATGGAGGGTTTGGCGTTTGTCTGCGGATTTTTGCTGAGAAAAGGGATTAAACCGGGAAAATACTTATTAATCGTGC